CTGACCAAATACTGCCTGGTCGAATTCCATAGAATCATGGACGTTGATTTGTATGGTTTTTATATTCAAATATACGGAGAAGGAAGACGACGAACCTCGCCAACGTCTGCTAAGTAAGATCCAACAGCTTAACAAAGAAAAACCTATAATGAATGTTATGAAACACCTGGATATTGGTAAACTTGAAGAACAAGAACAACAAAAAGATCCGTACGATATGGACAACGAAAATGACACTGATATCGTTGATGGTCCACTTCTAACAATTGGTGAAGAATATTCAAATGATAAACAACCTTTAATTCTAACTTATTATCGATACATGTACACAAATGGAGAACATTACAATAGTACAAGACCGTTAAAATTGAAAGAAAATAACGAACACGATGGTGAAGAAGATAAATATCTAGAATAATGTTGTTGCTGGTTCTTTTACATGAAAATTTTTTTTGTTATTTTCTTTTTTTATAATGCAATTTTTTGCTCAACGGTCTAACAATGAGCTACTTGTCAGTTTGAGCTAGTAGTAGTTTTTCTGAAGAAAAAGAGGATATAACTGTTTTCTATTAGGAAATCGACCGTCTTTTGTCGTTTTTTTCTGTGTTAAATATTTTTTCCAAGATGATGATAGTAAAAGCTACTTATTTCTTTATTTGTTTTGATTGAAAAATGAGCACGACCTAATATTTCTTTATTCTTTCCTATTAGACATCTTTCGATTCTATTTTGTCTTTTCTCGACTCGAATACGTTCTAAACACATTAAAAGATAGTGCAAAAAATAAATCAACAAACTCGCATGCTCACAATATTTTGCTTTGTCCTCTCCCTGCTGTTGACACTTTACATTTACTCATTTCAGTTTATTTTTATTTTTTAATCGTTCAGATTTATTTCCTCTTTAATTATTCATTGACACTCCGTGAACTTCTTGTGAAGATTTCTTCTGGAAATAGCATGAAGGTCTCTTGCGAAACACCGATTTCTTTAAAGAGTAGCATGAAGTTCGGGTGCAGACACACCGATTTCTGCAGGAAATACCGTTAACTTCTTATGGAGAAACAGTATTTCTTCAAGAAGTACCATGAAGTTCTTGTGGAGAAACACCGATTTCTTTCTCTCCATGAAAACTTCATGGCAGTTTTTCAACCGCAGCTGAGGGTGACAGTTACGCGTTTTAGCTGCATTATCTAATATATTTAAAACTAAATCATTGTCAATTGAATACACTTTATTATCATTTAAATTTTTCTTTCTATCAATATTAAATATATATTGATGATGAATATCATGATAATTAATTTTAAAATGAACAAGTAAATAACGTCGTATAAAATATGACTGTATATAATTAAAATTAAAATTTAATGGTCCATTATAAGAATGAAATAATGATGCCATTGATATTTGTTCATTTTGTTCACATTCCCAATCATCTAAATAAATTATTCCTATCAACATTTTACTACTAGCTAATTGTGAAATGGCTATTGTTTGTTTATTAAATGTATCTAATAAATTTTTAATTATACAATTATGTTCAAATATATCATTTATATATGTCTCCAATGTTCTTAATAAATTATTATTAAAATTGACAAGAACAATAATAATACGCATAATAACATTACCTTCATCACTGACATTTGTTGTCAATACATAATCAATTGATGTTTCTTTATTAATTGAACGAAATTCTTGTGTTAAACTACACGGTCCACGTTGAATATAGCCATTTGTAAATGAATGATAATTATTCACTGCTTGTATACCTTTTTCAATAGTTATATCATAAAATTTATCGTTTTGTTTAAAACGTTTTTTCCAATATTTATAAATTCTTTTAATGTTATATTTCTAAATTGTTCTTGATTAATAAGTTGACTAAATGTTTGATTTAATAAAATATAAAATCGAATTAAATCATATGTTATTATTGTTATTTTTAATATGTCGAGAATCGACTAGTAGACGAAGTAAAGATAAAGTAGATGTATTATGTTTTTTGGATTATCCAGATGAGTAACAAATTCAGAATAATGTATAATAACAAATTGTCTATTTATATATTCTTGTAAGTCTTTTTGAGTATTTTGAAATAGTGTAATGTACGATTTATGTTCCGATAATATTTCAAGAACATGATAGAACACATTTGTCTGAAATTTTTGTTCAGCTCTACGAATATCTGATAATTCAGTATAAATCGGTTTAATCCAATTATTATTATTATGATTGATTGATATTGATGCAAATTGTTCAAAACATCGATTTAATAAAAGGCAAGCATCATTCTGATTATAATATATTGATAAATGACATAGTAGCTAATAATCGAGCTCGAACAAAATGACATACACGAGTACGAACTGTATCTCAACCAGAGATGCTAAAGAAATACTCTTATTTTTATTTTCTATAAATAAACTGCTGTAGTACGACGATCTGCAAGCGAAATAATCATTTTTTTTCTTCGTTATCAGCTAATTTTTTAGAGTATCTCCATAAAACTTCCTCTACCTTGCAAAGTTATATCGAAAATGCTGTAGCTTAAAAACTAAAACAGACCTTTATCCAAAAAGTAGCTCGGCATAGAATACAACTTGCGTACTTCGAACTGCTAGAAAAACTGAAGAAGGGTACCTTCCAATTTGTTAACGTTTTTAATCTGAGAAGCTGCCAGAATAAACACTAGTCTCACAGTGAGTGGAATGTTTCTTTTGGTTCAACATTCGTTCTTTTCTCCATTTCTTGCTTTATATCTCTCGCTTAGTGTGCGTAGAAAGATTCCATAGATGTTACATAGATTATCTTTCACTACTATAACCCGAAGAGAAACCCGCAAAGTCATGGTCGTTCAGAAAATTCTCTGAAAGCTCATTTGGCTTTCACATGGACGTGACCTACTTTCTCATACGTTCATCTGAGATATTGGAAGCCTTATAACTCAAAAACCAAGATATAACTTTGTAAAAAAAATAGCTTGCCGTAGTGTACAACTTGTCTTCTAGCTCTGAGAAAGGTCTTCATGTAGTTATTCTTAAACAAGGAATAATTTTGTATTGCATTACCGAAAATATTTTGTGTATACGATATACAAGATAAAATTCCCTGCAATACTCTCTAATTATTGTCATAATTATTTGTACAGGCCAACATAGTCACAGAATATCAACAAGTATGAGATTTGTATTTCAAATATGCAGCTTGTAATAATTAATACACTAGTGCTCTTAATTAAGTATCACAAATTTATTTTCTTAAACAGTTGTGAAATATCTTAAAATTTACAATCTTATTATACAAACTCGGAAAAAGAAAGATATATATAACATAAGGAAAAGAAGTCTATATTGCTCATTTCAATTAATCTAAACTCTTCACGTTCACGCCTGGTATAACCGATAATGATGATGAAATTAAGAATCAAAACCCCCATAGATTATCCCAGTTTAAATTTAAAATTAAATCTTCCAATGAGAAAAGATTTAGAATGTGAATATAAAAACTTGCTATATCTTGTTCGTTGATTTCGTTCAGAAGAATGTCAAACAATGTCAGACGAAAAAAGCCAAATTATCAGTAGAACATCTTCTTTCCATCAAAATGTATATATAAAAGTCACTAAATTCTTTCCTGAAGAGTGAGTGATATTGGCGTTGTCTCCCACAGACCAAACATACCTATTCTGTACTAGGTGATATAACCCATTTTTGATCATTTTCATCAAAATTTAAAAAGTTCATCACTGAGTAGCTAGGCATACAGGAGCTAGGCAATTCAATTTCATCATCTTCGTTTGATTCTAATTCACCATTGCCAAGTTTAATAAGCTACTTTGAGAACTGTATTAAACTGATCAGTCTGATGAAATTCAATCCAAAGTGGTGCAATTACAAAATTTTTCTCAACTTGATATTAGTACTCTTGATATTAGTACTCAATTACGTTTATGGAAAGAAACATTTATCTTTCGTCGACAAGTCCTACGAGATCAATCAACAAGTGATATTATGAAGAATTTTCCTGCTTATAGTGATGCTTTCTTGGTAAATTAGTTCCTCAAGATTATCTGTTTGCATTAAACAATTGTCTTCTATTGTAGGTCTTTGAAGAAGTAAAAATGTTGGTGAATATTGACTTAAGTAAAGAAGTTCGCCGACAAGTTTCTATTTTACTAAATAAATTAGTCGAAACTCCGGCATTCATTGCCGGTAAATAAAATTAATAATAAACATTCATGAATAAACAATTTCTGATTTTACATTCACCTTCTATTCGATTAATTAAAATCTTATGTCGAAAGTTCGGTGAGACTATTCAACATATATTCTGCTAACAGGTAAGTTTCATCTTTTACATGTTCAAGATTTTACTTAAAAACAGATGTAAGATTAGTTTGAATTGATCTTCATCAATAAATGATTGACTTAAATGATTAAAGATACATAAATGAGATTTAAAGCTGCAGTTTTTAAGAAAGATCTTTATCTTATTCGATGTTATATCTTCTTTATAACTAGTCTGTCTCTTGTATCTGTTGTATAGTTTCTATTGATTGACACGTATTCATGTTGAAGACTCGTATCGCAATGATTTATTTATAATTGTAATTTTTCTCAACTGTTGACATCAAATATTAGACGTCTTTGAAACATGTTGACACAAGAAAGTGATCCATCACGGCATACTTTTTATTTGTTTTTATTTGTAAAAATTAAAAACATCAGTTTTTATAGGAACCATCAACATCATAGCCAACATTGGTCTCGATTGATGATATCATTCGTATTTATGTTGACTTCGATCCAATTCTTTCAACGAGTTCACCAGATGATGCTCTTGGTCTTCTTATCTCAATGTATTCTGTTTTTGAATTATCATTTGATAAAAAGAGTAGAACCATTCGATTTTTATATTGTGTTTTACATGGTGATAAACAATTTCTCTCTAATTCAATTCGAGTATTGATAAAGGAGAAGAATATTGATATTCATCGAGAACGTCTTTAACTGCCATCTATCTCGTCCTAATCTGTTTCGAACAATACAACAACACTTACTAGTGATTCTCAAAGTCAATTACAAATTGTTACAAATTTATTGCATCATTCTACTGGTGAATTCTTCTATTATTAATCAAACAACAGAACCAACGACTTCGACTGATAGTTCTCATTTTAGTGCAGATATGGCTTGTGATTCAAATGAGTGAGTTATATCTTTCTAATTCATTTATTTCTTAAACGTTTTTTTCTTTTATAGATGCAACAATAACAACGAGAACGTGTCACCATCTGGTTGTAGTTCTCAACTTCAAACAAGAAAGAAACGAAAACGGAAACAAAATTTTAAATGAAGAAGAACAGAATGATACATTGATGAACAATGCTTCACAAGAAAATGTTGAATCTTCCCAAAGTCGTCTTCCACTTGCTAGTATGACAAATTCAACTGTTGCATTACGACAATCAAAACGTACACGACGAACTTGATCTCAATGTCTTATATATTGAAGTAATCGATCAAATAACTTTTCTCATTCTTTTTTCTTCTCAAACAAAATTGTTTCACACATGATCTGTTTCTTTCGTTATCTAAAAGTATAATCAAATTAAATATAATATTATTAATATTTATCAAATTAGAGAAAAAGAATTATACATCGTAAACGCAAAGATCTAAAAAGCATTTCTACTTTCTGTCTTTTCTGTCTTCTTGATCATTGTTTTCCTCATCTATATAATTCAAATCTGTATCAAATGTTCAATAACTCGATAGGTACGTATTGTTGGGACATATTTTTCTTTAATGAATTATTAGGTTGTATGATACGTTATTTCCTCGAACATTGGTCGACAAAATAGGTAAAATATAACTTTTCGATTTCCTTTGTTATCATTGTATTTAGCATTTATTTATTTAATTCAAGCAATATCATCAACTGAATGACATGGTGTTGATATTTAATTTTTGTCAACTTTATTGTCTTTTTTGTGTTTTATTCCTTTAATATTAACTTAATCAAGAAATGGATCGGCATTTTCATCATTGATTTCTTTCCAGTTTTTTTTTCAGCTAGTTTAATCATTTCAATGATATCAGTTATTGAACAAAGTCACAAACCAGTCCTAAATTATTTATTTTCATTAATATCAAACAATGAACAACATGGTAAGTGATACATCTTCTTCAAATTTTCTTTTTTTTCTTTCTTTTATATTTAGTCATTCAGTTCGAACAACAACATCAATTCACTTATATAATATTGATATTTATGTTTTTACTGATTATTTTCTATTTATTCATTGTTCATCCAGTATGAAGTTAATCAAACAGTGGATCACATTTTAAATAATGATGTGACTTCCTTTGTTTCGGTCAGTTTTTAATCTACATGGTATCAACTATTTAGCAAAATAACAAGTGGAAGATTAATTATTTATTTCCATTAATATCAAACAATGAATAACCTGGTGAGTGATATGTTATTTTCGAATTCTTTTTCTTTCTTTTATACTTAGTTCTTTCACTTAAACAACATCAGCAATTGAATTATATAATGTTACAATCTTCTTGATTTCGAGTTACATCAGTTATATATTATTATCAATTCAACATCAACTGCATCAAACGATGAACCACATGGTGAGTGATGTTTTCTTTTTCTTATTTTCTTTCGTAAGTCTATACTCTCATTTCGTCAACACATATTATTGAGCGACATAATGAGCTAGTTATTTCAATTGTAATTCCTTTTATTCTTCTGTGACTTACTAAACTATCAATCCAATGTGCTGACTCATTCATGTATAATATATTCGTCATCTTTTCTCTGTTCGTATGAGTTTATCTTCATTGTCTAGTTAGCCTCTTTTCTTTCAATAAGTAATTTAGTAATATCCCACATATTCCACACGAACAAAATGATACAGATTTCTTTCTTATCTTTTCTTTCCATCTTATATCCTATTTTATGGCCGCATTCACTAACATAGGATATTTCTGCTCTTCTGTAAAACTGGTGAGTGACATAGACGTTCTTCCATCAAATGCTTCATTTAATAAAGTAACCATCGTTCTCCCTACAAACTTTTCCAGTTATTGCGGCTAAATTTTCTTTCTGCATTTGAGTGTCGCACAATTTCCTTCTATTCATACATGTGCTACACAGCACTGAACACAATGACACTATCACCCAACTGTATACTCATCTTTTCTGCCAATTTCGCTTATTTTCCGTTGCTTTTTCTTCACTTCTAATACGTACATAGAAGCTTTGGCGACAAATGCTTCGAATATGCGACTAATATCTTTAGTTGCTCTAAATACGTCCAACCAAATATTGAACGTCAAAGCATATCTCAATTACCATATTGGCGTTTCCTATTTGAATCATAGTTTGAATACTGCCCTTTTCAAATTCACAAGTAATTATTACTCTATTCGATTGTCCTATATTTCTACCGTTTTCTATTTCTTATTTCCTCTCGTTTCTTACAATAAACGTTCCCGGGCTCGTTTGAAAAATCGCTGCAATAGTTGATCCTCTCGCATCAGCCATTTAAGAGTCAACGAGATCGATTCATCAATTGGCATATTTGTTGATGAACCTTTAGTATCTGATGAGGGTGATTTGCTACCTGAAATAGCCTTTGATTAACGTTTTAATCATTCATGGAACTGATGAACGAAATGAAATACCCTCTGATGAATCTCTTAGTAGTTTATGAAGCTGGCGAACCAATTGAAATACCTTTTAATAAACCTTTTGGTAGTTTGTGAAGGCGATAAACCAGCTGAAATACCCTTTAATAAACCTCATGGTAGTTGATGTAGCTGATGAACCGACTCAAATACCGTTTGATAAACGCTTTCATCGTTTATGAAGTTGGTGAACCAATTGAAATGCTCTTTGATAAGCCTTTTCATCGTTTACGAAGGTGATGAACCGACAGAAATACCCTTTTATAAACAAGTATTCAGAAGTTATTTTGATTTGATATGATTCAACTCTGAAATCATTTTCCTCAATTCAGGATGAAGTCTAGCATTACCGGCCAATTTGATCAATCTCTTGATGTCGGATGCGGATCTGAAATGTGACGTTAGATCTGGGGACCTTCTTTGTTCACGCCGTAGGTATTGATCATTGTACAGAGATGATGTCATTGTACGGAATCGAAATGGGAAGACCATGTGGGCTAATGATATCCAGTTTGAATCCATTCTGCGGAAATATGCTCAAGGTTAAAAGAGTTCCAGCTGGAACTGTGGATTTGTTCACAGCAAGAATGGTCGTAAGTGAATTTTTTTCTGTGAGTGAAATAATATAGTATCGTTGTCCCAATTAGGCTCACTGGTTCTACATGGATGCATTCTGGGCCGAAGCAACAATGCCTGGCTACCCACTCCGCTTCTATTTCCCCTCTTTTTTCTCAACAAAATTCTGATTGAACATAAAATCTTTCTTTAGGACTGATTGATTTTATGATTTCTTACACTCTTGAAAAATATAAATTCAGTATGAACTCCTGAAACTTCAGACTATGAATCTACGACGAGCGCTAGAGATACCTCAGTTGTGATTCTGAGTAAGTTTAGCTGCTGTTTTTCGCTTGCAGTTGGCTAAAGTGACTTTAATTTATATTAGGCAAAAATGAAACTTACGAGGGAAGGTCCCAACTGTCCGACCGCTTTCGAGCCGAAACCTAGTGGACTATAGGTAGTCGACCATGCTGATTCCGAATATCAACATGAGACGTGCTACTAGGCCTCCAGAGAGTGGTTTTCTGG